CCCCCCCCCCCCCGTTCCCTCGCCACTCTCCCGTTCCCTCGCCCACTCTGCCGTTCCCTCGCCACTCACCCGCCCCGCTCGGCCGGGCCAGCGCCGCGCGCAGCAGCAGAGCCATGTCCGCTCCGAGCCAAGGACACGGAAACACGTCCTGCCCTTTCCCCTTCTCCTTCCCCGCCCCTTCCCCTGTCCCAGCCTTCCCCAGCGTTTCCGTGCCGGCAGCGCAGGAACCCGAGCGGGTTGAGCCCTGCGGCTCAGTCTCTGCTCGCGGGAAGCAGGGACAGATCGGAGGATCAGCCCCCAAACTGCACCGGGGAGGGTTAGTTACACGCCAGGAAGAATTTCTTCATGGAGAGGTGGTTAGACACTGGATGTGCTTTCCAGGGAGGTGGTGGAGTTACCATCCCTGGAAGGGTTTGAGGATGTCGCACTCAGTGCTGGTGGACAAGGTGGTCTTAGGGATTTGGTTCGACTTGGTCTCAGAGGTCTTTTCCAGCCTGAAGGATGTGATGCTGTAGGAAGGTGTGGGGAGAACCAGGACCAGCTGTGCCAAAGCTTCCCAGCCAAGCATTGCTCCCAAAACACTTGGGCACACTGGAGAGGGATGTGGGACAAGGGCATAGAACGACAGGATAACAGCTCAAACTGACAGAGGGGAGGGTTGGATGGGATATTAGGAAGGAATTCCTCCCTGTGAGGGTGTGAGACAGTGGCACAGATTGCCCAGAGAAGCTGCTCCATGCCTGGGAGTGTTCCAGGCCAGGTTGGATGGGGCTTGGAGCAGCCTGGGCTGGTGGGAGGTGTCCCTGCCCATGGCAGAGGCAGAACTGGCTGATCTTTAAGGTGCTTCCACCCCAAACCAGTGTGTGATTCTGATTTTTGGACCTGACACTGTTAGGATATGAAACTGGTGTCCCATGTCACTATCCATGTGTGGATGCTGCAGGACATTTCCTCCTGCCCTTCATTCATCTCCTCCAAGTCTGATCAGCACACACAGCACAGGGAGAACACAAGCACCACCCAGGACACCCCAGGCCTGTGCTCCATCCCCAGGATTCACTCCGGAGCAATGACAAAGGTATCCAACACGTTGGGATTTATTTAATGGTTAAAAGGCTTGGCTGTTGGCTGCAGGGAGAACAGCCCAGTACCAGTTCCTCCAGTAACACACTGGGCAGACCAGAGACAGGACACAACACCCACCAAGGCCTCTCTGTCAGCACAAAGGGTTTTGGCAATCCCCACGGAGAAGGGAGGAAGGCAGACACCATGCCCAGCCCAGCAGGGTTTGGAAAGAAGTCTAAACCAATGCACTGGAGTTTTTTCTTCATCATTGTGGACTCACTGCAGCTGGAATGGGAACATTCCCTCAGCTCTCTTCCATGTCCAGCTGACCCTGTGCATTCCCCTCAGCTCTGCTTTTGGTGGAGGAGGGGAAGACAAAGACACTGTGGGGTTAAATCCAGTGGCATTTCCTCTGTTATCAGAGTTTTGTCTGTCCTCTCTCCTACTGCCAGTCTTGGGAACCCTAAAAAGCAACCTGTTAATTAAAAAAAAAACACCAAAAAATGCAGCAAAAATTGCTGCAAACCTGCCCGTTTTCCCCCTGCATATAGCCTGGAACACTTTTGTGCATCAGAGGTCAACTTGGTCACAGAAAAAGCATCTGGAGGTGGCAGGATGAGCCAAGCTGTGAGACAGGTCACTGCTGCCCTGGGTTTCTGCAAGTCAAGTCCATGGGCAGCAGCTCCTGCAGGTGACAGGGCTCATCTCCTCCCTGTGGGCCACAGTGCTGAGAGACAAACACCTGCCTCAGTGCTCTACCTGCAGCCCAGACCTGTCAGTCCTCATCTGAGCTATCCTCAGATTTCTCATCCCCAGCCACTTTCCAGTTCTTCCTCTTGCTCCTCTTCTCTGGCACTTGGCTCTGCCTCTCTGACACGGAGCTGGGACGTCTCTTCCTCTTCCTTGGCCGCCTCTCCTTCTTCTCTTCAGACTCACTGTCCTCAGAGCTGCTGGTGCTTGAGCTGCTTGCATGAGAAGAGTCACTCTCCTGCCCAGAAGAAGAGGTAGGTTCCTTGGCAGGCACTTTCCTGGTCTTTTTCTTGCGCTTGTGTTTCCCTTTGCGGGCGCTGGAAGGCTCTGAGCACTCACTGTCCCGGGAGGAGTCTGAGGAGCTTCTGCCCTGCTCCTTTTTCTTTTTCTTCCTCTTCTTGTGGGAGTGCTTTTTCTGCTTCTTCTTGTGTGATTTCTTGGCTTTTTTCCTCTTGTGTGAATCCCGAGCACTTTGTTTCCCCAACTGCGATTTCTTCCTCCCGTTGATGGTGTTTGGTTCATCTCCCTCGTGCTGGTCACTGTGGAAACAACAGCAGGAGTTTACTCAGAGCCACTGAGGGATGAAACTCATTTAGAGCAGGTTACTTCACACCTCTAGGCCTGACAGATACTGATGATTCTGCTGGGTTAAAAATCACTGAGATCATCTTTTACAGCTAAGGCTTCACTCTCAGGATACTGCAGGAATTTTGCCTTCCAGATTCACAGATTTTAGTAACTCCAGCTAAACCTGAATGTCTAATCACTATCAAAGACTCAGTTCCCTCCTAAGACTCAGTCAAGGGGGGACCACATGAACAGACTTGATTTTTTCCATGGGTCTCTAACTAATCAGTTTGGCTTTGCATTTAAGGCTGATCTATTTTCCAACAGTTGGCACAACCTGCCAGAAGGAAAGTTCTGGATCCCTCAAGAACCCTCCTTGCCTTACCTGTCTGTATCAAATTCTTCAGGGTACAGCTCTTTATAGCCACTGTGTCCCCACCTGTAGGGAAGAAACATCTGTTAAGAACAGACAGGATTGTTTGAGGACAAAAATACAGTTCTGAAAAGCCACAGGATGAACAACAGTTTAGACAGGGAGGAAGGAAACAGGACTGATTTAATTACACCTTATGTTCTCAGCCTCTTTTCCATTTCTAATTAGGGAAAACTCCAGTTTCTTTCCAACACCCCTGGAGAGCACTAACTTGCATTTCTCAATGCATTTTAAGTTCCTTGGGCAAAGCAATGAACACTCAGCTTGGGGCTGAGCTTTGGCTGACACTGTGGCTTAGAAACTGCACAGATGAGCTGAAATTGGGTTTTCTGTGACACTGCAGTTTGTGCATGTTCCTCACTCATCCTCACAAGGAGCTTGGGCATTATTTTACAGGAGCACACATCAAACAGAGAAATGTGTAACTGGTTGGTACAGGACTCCAAAGAGATGTTCCAGTGATAACCACAGGACGTGATTCCCCCACAGACCTGTCTGGCATGTTGGCTTCACATTCATACAGCTTCTTGTTCCAGGAACGAGCCCTGAGGAGATCATCCTCCACCAGGTCAAGAAACTGGGAGTTCCTTGTCTTCCAGTCAGCTCTGTGTCCCTCCTCGTCGAAGCCATCGCTGCGCATCCGACTGCTGTGGGAGAGACCAGAGTCCTTCGGCCCAGCTCTGGGGGACACAGCTCTTCCCACCCCACAGCTCCAGAGAACAGCAGCACCAGGTGCTATCTCAAGGATCAGACACACAGGTGAAAGCATAAATGCTTGGACTTAAGCACAGGTTTGACTTCTTCCCAGGGAGAAAATGAATCTCTCCGTGGCAGATCTCACCTGGAGGTGTCTGACAACATCCTGCTTTGCCTCCTCCAATAAGTCTCCTCTGTCTGCTTCTCCCACTCCCTTATTTTCCACATCTCTGTCTCTTCCTGAATCTGAAATGTCACAGAAGACAGACAAATTTAGCCTCAGGGAAGACTTACAATCCTGTAGTACCAACCTCAACCCTCCTGCAGACAACATCCTCTGGTTCCTAGCTGCACCCAAAGGAGAAGCTCCTGATGGTAGTTCCCTACCAGAGCACAGAGCATCAGAAATGGTGTGTTTGACTGACTTTACCACCTCAGCTGTCCTGGCTGCTTGGCCTTGTCATTCACTGCCACCCCAAACATATGGACTGGCACAGACTCCAGTACACAAATACCAGCTGGAAGGACCAAGCCAACACGAGGAGCTGAGGCTGAGAAATGCCATCCTGGGTGGTTTGGCACAGACCTGTGGGCACAGATGCTGACTGTGCACCAGGGACTTTATAAACACCTGGAATAAACGAGTTGGACCTGCTGAATTATGGCAGGGATTAATTAAATAGTTTGCTGAAGTTAAATGGAGTTGCTTAACCTCACACTAAAATCCTGTCCGTGCACAGGGACACAAAGTTCACATTGTCTGGTGCAGTTAAAGGCACATACACGAGGGAAAAAATCCCAAATCATGAAAGATTTGCTGCTTTACAAGCCAAACCATCGTTTTCAGTAAAGTCCTAAGAGAACATGCTTTTCACAGGTGGAGTCTGACAGGGAAATACAGACACATCCCCTCACTGGGTGAGAACTCAGGAAAACCAGGGGTAAACTGACACCCAGGAACACTGAGACAGGGTTGAACCGAGCTCAGGAAAACCAGGGGTAAACTGAAAGTGAAACTCGGGATGTTTATGGGGTTGATTTAACGAGCTATTTTTCTAGCCCACAAACACTCCTGCTCTCTCCCAAGCTGGATCAGCACCCAGGAATCCTAGGATGCACCCAAACATCGGGAGGTGCCCAGGATCACTTGAGCTGGAAGAGACCCACGAGGATCATCAATCCAACTCCTATCCCTGCACAGACACCCCAACAATCCACCCTGTGCCTGGGAGTGTTGGCCAAACCCTCCCTGAGCTCTGTCGGGTTTGGGGCTGTGCCCACTGCCCTGGGAGCTGCCCAAACACCTCTGGGCACAGGACCTTGTCCTGACACCCAACCTTTTTTTTTACCCCCAGCCGCTCCCTGGGGCCCGTCCCGCCGGGGGAAGCTGCGAGGAGGTTTCCCGAGGCTGAGCGCACCGCGATGCTCGCACGGCTCGTACCTTGTTGTGCGCTCCCGTGTGCCGGATCACGTTCCGCAGCAGCACCTTCCCCACGGGCACGCGGGACATCCTGCCCGGCACCTCGGGCGGCGAACCCGGACAAACGGCGGCGGGAGCTGCTCCGGA